GCGTAGAGACTACATTAGTGGGCTAATTATTACATATAATTATGAAGTACTTTATCCGAAGTCGATTATAAAAGTGAAAATTTCACTCTATCCTACTTTTAGCGAGTCATATATATTTTGCCACTGGTACTTAATGCAAAAACATTTATAACACCATGATGTTGGGTGCTGAAGTGAGCAACCTAAAGTGCAGATGGCCTTAGTTTGTCTTCCGACACTGCCGCCTCCCAGCTGTGCGTCTGAAATCATGCCTGTGAGGATCTCTTTTGTGACACCTGAGCTTATTATTATATTAAAGTTTGAATTAATTAGACCACGTTATCTCGAGAACTAAAATATACAACATAGAAAGGGTTTAATAGTTTTTAAAGTCGAATAATTTTTAGTAGACCTTAAGTTACTACCACTTAACAATGACAAGTTTTTCGCGCGATGTTTTTTAATTTCTATTAACATATGCTGATTTAGTAAGGTGGGGAATTTTTTACCAAACTGCCTGCACAGGTACTAACTAAAATACCAGATACGTATTTCGCCGGCATAGTGCCGCTGTTTGAAACAACTGCGATGGGCCCGGCTCATCGGTGCATTCCTCACCATTAGTTGTGTACTTTCTAGTTGACGTACCAGTTGTGAAATTTAACTAATTAATTTACTTAACTTACAAATTATTTTTTGAACTATGTACAGTTATAAAAATTCTGGTACTTCCACAAATCTCGAAGCTATCTGTCGATCGGACAGTGGGTTCTATCTGACCGACCTCAGTAATGATGCCTGATCGGTTAGTTTCCAGAATAGTACGTGAAGACAAAGCTCTGGTGGTCGGCGTTCCCCCAACTTCTTAAACACCAAATGTTCCGAGTTCAGTTTCGTTTCGTTGCGTTCCCTGTTAGATAACATTTGTAGGAATGCATATCAACTTCAGCTTAATTAACTTATTTAATGATTTCATTGAAACCTAAGGATATCTCTAGTTATTGCGCTCGATTCCTCCCACTAGTCTGATAACTTCTTTTTATTGACGTTGTCCCTAGGTTCGATAAGGAGGTCTAAAACAAATGATCTTCGTTATGGGGCGCACCTATGACTGCTCGGTGAGTTAGTTTTAACTTCACTGAGACTTAATATTAGTGCCTAAACGAAGCAACTACGCAGTTCCATGCGCGGTCCCGCGTATCGTCCTTATGACATCACTGGCCGGTTTCTTCATTTAACCCGATCTAGATACGTTCGAATCGGTCCATTTCCACCATGATGTTGTTAGTCTGCCACAACAACTGTTTCCACCCACTCCCTATGATGAACCATGGAAGTTTCTGTCTGGAGTGCAATTTTACTCTAATCGCACTCTGGCTTCTCTCGTTAGAGGGCAGGAGCTAGTTCTCTGCGGTTTGATTTGATCTGATATCCCATGACACGCATCACGACTTGGGGCTGCGCCCAGTTATTATCCAGTAGCTAGGATACTTGGACAAAACATTGTCGTAGAGATTTGGTACTCATCTATACTGCTGTCTTAGCAAATCTAGTGGTGGCGAATTTCTCATGAATGTGAATTCCCTGACTCACAAGGTCTCTGCGAGGCATGTCAGTTACAAGAGAAATAAGCTCCAGCATAGGCTTATTAGGGATTTTAATAGATTACTCTCTTGGAAACGTACGTTATAAGCACTTAAAAAATGAAAATCGCTTTCCTCTCTCTGCCAGTCTTGTCGCAACAGGCAAGAATGGCAATTCTGTAGTTTCTCTAAAGAACGCAGGGCGTGCGCTGGAAGACCCATCGATGAACCTTAACGTCTCACAAATGCCATACAGTGGCACAGTTTCGACAAAACAAGTATCCGGGTTATCAGCCTGGAGAGAATTATGATTTATTGCTTCAAGACCGAAATCGAACATCGTTTAAGATAAGTCATATGAATTAAACACGGTCTTCCTCAATGTAAGTGGACCATACGAATTTCGGACCAGACCGTGCGTGATATTTCATTTAATTTCTAGAGACACTGAATACTAATCCGGGTAAGTTACTTTGAGTGATTCAGTTTATTTTTGATGGGAAGGCTGTTCAGGAGCAATTACTTGCTACTGTATATATATAAGCCTGGAAATATTTTCATAGCAGTAGTATCGCTGCAGCATTTGGGAGGCTCAAAAAATAAACTCCTTCGTGATTTACAACAACTATTTTAAAGGAAACAGTATTTCTATGGTTGCCTCAGAATACGCTCGAGGGGCATTATCGGACTCTGCAATTTTATCCCCAAGTGAATATTTCTGCCGTCAGAGCATACATCAAAAATCCACATTTGTGAGGGTGTAGGAGTTCCACAGTCAGTCGCTGTTTTGTAGCATCTTGTACTCTTCGCACAAAACACTGATAATGTTAGAACATTAATTTTAGCTGATGAGTCAACATGTGCCGTGGTCTCATATTGCCTTAAGATTCGAGTACTCCCGATTCACAAGTGCTCCCAGAGGTCTGGAAAAAACGAACTGAATCCGGCTTTATGATAGTCATATGGACGTCTTTCAAAGGCTTGAAAGCTCATAATATTTTGAGTAAAACAAAGACCACGAGACTGGCGGAAGTTAATGACGTCATGCAATTTCGTGACCGCTTATTCAACTTCAAACGGTCATTGCCTATTAAGCAGATAAAATAAACTGTCCAATTAGGTATCGACCTTGAAGGCTGAAACTTGATAGGTAAATAGAGTAGAAGCTGTTTGTCTTAAGTACGGGTATGCACTGTGTGGGGGAAGAGGGTAGAGGGAGGCAGTTATCGCAGTGTAATGGCCTGACGAAATTGCATGAGTCATTAAATCCTGTCAGTCTCCTGATCCGTGCCTCGTTCAAAGTTAATTCGGGAAAATAGTGTTTCAGTCCATAGTATTTTACTCTGCAGAGCGCACCTGTTACAAAGCAAAGCAGCTGCTAACAAAGCAGAAGAATGCGGTTTCCAATCCCAGCAAGTCTTGCCACATTATGAATGAGGGCAATTACAGGAGGGAATAATAAATTGGCAGGTCTGCTTGTCATTTGTCTATCAAGCACTAGTTTCTATCTGATAAACCTAATAACTCAGTGCCGATGAGCATTGTGCGCGTGGTGGGACACTGAATATACATTTTCCGTGTTCAGACCACACTAAATGGTGCAAGCCGAGAGTGGAAAATGTAAACTATTATATTGGATGCCACTGATACCCACAACACCGCTTCCGTTGCTCTACCTAGTATCTGCGCTGCGAAAGCTGAGAAAAAACTGTTCCATATTATCTGCATGTTTAGCTTTGACCCACTTCTTATATAAATGTGATGGCCCAATGATAATTTATGGAAAACGTTCGTATGCTCGCCAACTGCTCTTCTCGATTCAATATTGTTTGCGGGATCGATGAGGAGTAGGATAGGTGTTTTTTGTGACATCTTCGGGCCGGATTTATTGAGCGAATCTTGCTATATCACCTGTTTCTCCTTACTTGAATATTGTCCCTCCCCATTTAAAAAGACAATCTCTTAGGTTGTACGTTTATTGGAGAACCGTACTCTGGACCGCAACTTATCTCTTCGACTCTGGCGAGCAAACAAGAAGTGTGAAAATAGAATATTCATCATCATCATCATAATCATCATCATCATCACCAGCATCATCATCATCATCAGCATCATCATCATCGTCACAAACTGCACCATCAACAAATATATGGGAGGGCGGAATGAGGATTTCGTGTTTCTTAGGTAATTTAGCTCAGCGGTTATCCGCGGACAACTGGCAGAATTCATCCTTCCTGGATTTTTTCTGCTTTTAATTACTACCGAAGTACCCGAGCAAAACTCCATCAACAGTTTTCCGTCCTGCGACCGCGATGGAGCGGTTAATGCTATGAT